GATGTGGTGGTGTGAGCTGTCGGCGGACGGTGGCTGTAAGTGATGTGTGCGACTGTCGCCGGTGGTGTGAATTTTTCCGGCAGCCTGTGGAGAGGAGTTTCTGTGACAGGGACGTCGACGACGAAAAATGACGGACGGGCTTGATGCAGTGGTGTAAGCTACCGGCGGATGGTGGCTGTAAGTGATGTGTGCGACTGTCGCTGGTGGTGTGAATTTTTCCGGCGGCCTGTGAGAGGAGTTCCTGTGATGGTGCGCGCGCGCGTGTGTGTGTGTATGTGTGTGTGTGTGTGAGAGAGAGATAGAGAGAGAGAGAGAGAGAGAGAGAGAGAGAGATGACGAGATAGAGAGAGATGAGAGATAAATCTGGTTTTATGATATGCATGTGTGTCCCACTAATTTTGGTGTATGGTGAATTACATAAATACCCCAAAGTCAATTCAATTTTGACTTAATCATGTTCGTTGATATAATTGATCAAATGGTCAATAATCATTATTATTTCTTTCACTATCTACAATTCTCATATGGTCCTTTCTCATATAGATAGTTAATTAAAATTTGAATTATTTATTAGCAAATTAAAATTTGTGTGATGTGTAAAGATGATTGATTGATATTATTTAATTATATTAATAAAAAATAAAAAAGTTTGGTTGGTTTGGATTTTAATTGGTATAAATTAAATCGGATCGGTCAAAACCAATTAAAATCGGATATGACTCATATCCAGTCACCACCTAAAAGAGCTTCTTGTTGGTATATGTGTCCTAGAGACAATCATTTTAAGGACATATATACATGATCACATTAATAATTATATTGGATTATAATTATGGTATTGTGATTAATTAAGTAATTGTTTGATTGTTTGCAATGTATTAATTAATTGCTCCCTTGAGTTGATACTGTCATTAGCAGAGTGAGATGTTAATTGATAAAGTATAACTCTAAAATCGCCTCAATCGATGATCATTAAGAAAGTGATATTAATGATACGCGATAGATTGACATG